CACGATGACTTTATTTGATGTATTTGGTTTTATTTCTCACATTCCCTTTTACATCAAACATTTTACAACATATGTTCACGGTTTTCTTTACGAGCTGTTACAGGACGTATAAGGTTTCGTATATCTGAATAATTCAACATATTATATTAATATAAATAATATAATAATAATAATAAATATGTATATTATACCAAAATAAAACTAAACATGTGTTGCATATGAGTCCACCTTACACTGACGTATGTATTCAGTCCAGTATACACAGGAAAATATCCCTATTATTTATTTTTAATTATACATTGTAAGGATTTCTTCTATAATTTTAGCATATATGTAACTGTTTCCATTGTATTAATACTTATATATACTTTATACTAATCATTCCTCTGTCCAGGTAGACGGAGTTATGGCATTTTATATTTCATTAATAAATAAACCATCTAAAACAACATGTTACTGGCTAAGATAACACCAATATTATTGGAATTATACAGGACTTTTCTTTGTTATGATATCGATATTATATATACAGATCTCAGCCAAACTTCCTCGCTTGCATGATTAATTTTAATAGCTTCAAATATATCCATAATAATGAATGTCCTGTGTGTTAGATTTACAGTATGTTATATATTCTTTTGTTCCCTGTGTGTGCTTTAACCAATCAGCAGGCCATAACTCCGTCTACCTCGACAGAGCAGCGATTTGCATTCAGTCGATCAAACCGTTTCCTGTTGTATTTGCATAGAGCGGTAACAGTGGCAGTAACGAGGTCCGACAGCAGCCGCAGACACAAAAGAGACGGACTGTAATCTGCAGCGCTTTCTAGCTCAGTCTCTGCATCTGTGTCATATTGTACAACCACCACATACTGCACTTAGTTTGTTAGTTTGCAATTATGTGTTCATTCATTCATTCATTCATTTAAATAATCATCATTCAACCTGGATGCTGTTGTCGTTTTCTTTGCTGTTCATTCTCAGTCCCAAAATATGTTTAATGTCCTTTTTAAAATATTCTTCTGGGTTTTAGGCAACCACTGACTCACAACCCCTCCAACACAGTATTGTGACAAACAGGGTGTTAAAATACCTGTTTTTCTCATGTTATTCTCTTTGTCACTTCCTTTATAAATGACATTAAAAGTCTGGATGGTGTCTGAACGAGAGAGAAGGGCTTTTAAACAGCGTAAAAATCCTTCCTGCAGATCAGCATGTGGAGTGAGTCAGTTACAGTTACAGCTACTTGAAACTAGACCTGGTCCAGACAAAGCCCTGGCTTCATGGAGACATCAGAATCCGGTTAGTATTTTGTAGCAGGAGGGAGGGAGGGAGGGAGAGAGAGAGAGGGAGAGAGGGAGGGAGGGAGGGCCAGGTATGCTGCATAATCATAAAGCACTCTGTAATCAACTACAGCCTTCAGTGTTTGTGTGTCATGAACTCATTTGGAGTGGAGGTTAAATCTTTCTGTATCTGTGAGTGAGACGATGGTGTGTGTTTGTGTCCCTGTGGGGGGGCGGGGGGGAGGAGGACTGCAGCTGTTCTCTTGATTTAAAGGAAATCACTGCAAAGATGGCGACATGTTTCCGTGTGTGTGTGTGTGTGTGTGTGTGTGTGTGTGTGTGTGTGTGTGTGCTTTCCACTGGTAATGAGATGACGGAGCTCGGTAGTGAGCGATCAGACGAGAGAGAGAGAGAGAGATCCTTGATTTAATTTAAACATCCTCTGCATCAGAAGCAGGAGGCGGAAGGAGGAACTGGGCCGCGGTGGTCTGCTGGTTCTTCAGGATGAACTGGAACATGTGTTTTTTAGTGAACTGGGATCTGTGTTAGTGGGTCAGCTTGAGATCCAACAATCCTTTTTCTGGAAGGTTCCTTAAATCTGAACTCTTGTCTTCAGGTCATCAAACATTGTGTGGCGTGTTATTCCTGTAGTGTAACGATTGACAACCACATTGGTGTCTTTAACCGTCTTATTTGTATGATTGATGGTGTGTTCAGACATGCAGTGGGATGGAAACCGGCTCTTATTGTCAGAGGTGTAATGATTAAAGTGGCAACAGAGAGCAGAGAAAGGTTTGTTATTTCACTTATTAACTTACCTAACAGATGCACACAGAGAGACCCGCCCAGTGGCTGCTGGATGTGGAACTGAAGTGTCAAAGGCAAGAGACAACCTGTCTGAGCTTTAAACTGTGTTCAGGTTTTAAAGCTGCAGCAGGTCATTTCATATTTGCTGAAACTTTCACTACAAATGACAGATAATCTGGTACTCTGTACTCTAGTCAGCCGGGCCCAAACGAAAACAACCAATCAGAGCCCAGAAAGAAAGTTCTCGGCTCTGATTGGTTGTTTTCAATCGGCCCCAGTTGAATAGAATACAAGAGTACAAATGTGTGGGTCTGAAGGGATGTCTAATGTCTAATGTTGTTTCCAGAACACTTAAAAATAAAAGTTTTATACGTTCTCATAAGCCATTTATATTGGCTCCTTTTAAATCTGCCATTAATAGACGATGTTTGTGCTTGATCCCGGTTTGTACGAAACAATGAAAACACAGAGACAAGCTTAGTGCCAAAGCCTCACATGTTTTTAAAAGGTCGGGTTGTGGAAAGCCTTCGGCTGCGGGTCGCTATCTGTAATACAAAACAAAGGAGGCATTAAGAGAGCGCTAACAGTGAGAGAACCTGGATGATCCCCAACCACTCCGTCTCATAGCTTCTCTACAGACCAGGACATGAATCTCTCCATAGCTTTGTGCTCATTGCTTATTTATTTCACGAGGTTAAAGGTGAATTTAAGGACATCCAGATCAGAATTATTCTGCTGGTACACAGTCAGACACACAGTCACAGGAATACAGAAGATACGAGGTAGAAAAGAGAGCGTAGCATGTGGCGTAGGAGGATTGGGGAAGGGGGATGATGTCTGTGAGATTTGGGTCTACAGCATTGACGGGGTTGTGTGTGTGTGTGTGTGTGTGTGTGTGTTGGGGGGTCCGGATGTGGATAACGGCAAAAGGGGAGTTAGCCATCTGTCTGTAGAGAGGAAGAGCCTGTCCCTCCTCATCTGCACAGGGCCGGACTGTAGGGCTCAGACACAGGGTCGCAGTTTGTGACTCAGCGAGTTGAAGAAGAGGAGATAGAGAGAGACAGACCTCCTGCGTCGAGCTCTCCTGAGAGGAGCTGAGGTCGGGTCTGAGGTCGGGTCTGAGGTCGGGTCTGAGGTCGGGTCTGAGCTGACCCTTTCAGGCTGAGAAAAGTGGAGTTTCTGTGGAGGTTTTAAAGCTCTGTAGCACTGATCGGGTCTTTGTTTGGGCCCTGTCATCAGTCTAATTACTGTAATTCCCTCCAGTTGGAGAACAAAGGAACCTGATGGGAGGATTAGAGCCTGTAGACAACCGGGCCTTCTGCCTGCTTTGGATGCTCACTGCCGGTTCCTCCAGTGGGAGTGGAAGATCTGGAAGAGCAAGAGAATAAGAGTATGTGACAGCAGTAACCTGTAGTGGGGGTCGCTAAATATAACAATTTAATTTAGTTTTCTTCAAAGAAATGAAAGAAATACTGAGATATAGGATCAGTCACACCCCCTAAAGCTCCAGTGTGTAACATTAAGGAGGATCTATTGTCAGAAATATAATATAATAGTCACAGGTAAGTTTTTATTAGTGTTTAATCACACAATCAATCAACTGTTTTTATCTACAGAGGGTGCCATGTTTCTCTCTGCAATCTGCAGCTACTCCACTAGATGCCATTAAATCCTGTATTTAAAAATGAATCAAAAAGGCTTTGTGACCTTGTTGTGACCCCGAGGTTGGGAACAAATAAAGTCGGCCTAAATTTCAGCATTTCATTAATTATAAATAAAAGAAAACTAAATAAAATTGTTGGTTTATATTAAGCTTAAAGTGAATTCACAGAGCCTTTACTCTCTATAAACATTGATTTATGATTGATGTCATTCTTTGTAATATTATGTTTTTTTTAATATACTTTAACCTTTGTAAAAAAGGTAAAAACTAGTCATGTGACCCAGATACGACCTGTGTAACAGTGTTTGATGTTTTTATATAAAGTCAATGGTTTTTACATTATTTAAGGTTTTTATACCACAAATAAAATAAAATGATTGTATTCTGTAAATTGTACAGTTTAGTATAATTACACTGAATAATTAAAGTGATATATGTGTAAATATATATAACAGGTCAAAATATTAATAAATGTGGCAGAAATATAAGTTTTTCTGTAAAATAAAATAAGTTCTACTTCATGTGAACTGTCACTGATGAACTGAAGGATTTGATAAAAGAAACCATGAGGTAGAGAGTTAGTTTAACTGCCACATGTTGTCACTGTATTGAGCTCCTGTGTGAGTCTGCTCTGCTGCCACCAGGGGGCGCCACACTGATACTACATTATAATCCTCATTAGTTTTTAATATTCACATGTTTAAGGGTTTCCAAAAATTGCACCATGTCCCAGACAGAAGTCCAGGTGATGCGTAGGTGTTGTTATGGTGTCAGCAGGGCTGCTCTCACTATACGTTCACTGAGCAGCTCCCTCACCCCATGACAAGGACGGATGCAGTGGGAGGGGCCGGGGGCTTTTATATCAATGTTTGGGCAGAGGGTGTTGGGTCGTGGTGCCGCTGTGGGAATGTGTTTTATGCTCCCGTTGGGTCCCAGATGTGTTGTAAGGTGATGTTGTGGAGGTTGCAGGAGGCCGGTGTCGCTCCTGAGCTCAGAAACAGCTTACAAACAGAAATGCTCTGTGTACCCATGATGCTTTGCAGCAGCAGTTTGAATAAAGCCTCCAATCTGGGCTTTTTCCAACGTTGCAGCTGAGATTATTCCACCCATATGTGATTATTAAACGTGCCCTGTGGTGTTTGAGTTGATTGATTTGGTTTCTTTTGGTGAAATGTTGCTTTAAAACTGCATTTATTACTTTAATATAACATTTATTCTTATTTCTGTGTTCTCTTGTGTCTCCACCAGGTGGCTCTGCTGGGCTTGGACCTCCTATCTGCCTTAGTGACAAGATTACAGGAGCGATTTAGGGCCCATGTGGGAACAGGTAAGAGTCAGACTGTACCATAAAGTGAATTTCATTATTCTTGTTTGTGTTTTAATGATATAATATATAAAAGTTTATTTATATAGCACGTTTTAAACCACAGTACACACATACACACATATAAATACCAGCAGTGGCTCCCAGCCTTTTTCCCTAAGGCAACTCTTTTCTATCATTGAGTAAACTGACTATATTTTATAGATATTTCATGTTATATTAAATGCATAACAATAACAGTGATAATTAACACGAACAGTGAACACAACAACTGCAGGAAGTTTGTGTGAAATTAGAGATTTTATACATTTTGAGCAGATTATATCCTGTGAATATTGGTCAGAGATGAGTTTTCTTCATATTTTTTATACAATTCTCCGTCTGTATTGAGTATTTTTTAACTTTTTAACAATCATACATGTCTCACAGGCTTCTTTTTTGATAAATTCAGTGTTTTCTTTGGTTGTTTTAACTTTTTAATGCAGGAACTCGTACATAATACACACACCAACATACAACCACACATACATATATAATACACACACCAGCATACAATCAGCGTACACACATTATAATACACAGACACAGATTGAAGCAGTCGACCACAATAGACCAAGTGTGAACCACCGTGACGTCACCCACTGGTTTGAATTCAACTTAAAAGCTCCCTGCACCAAACTCCCTTTAAGAAATATCACATTTTAACAATTCCTAACGTGTTTGTAAAAAAACACGTAACTCTAGAAACACAAGCTAAAGGCCGTCATATGTCCACAGTCTGACTGTCAATTCGGCTTCAGTATAATCCATAAATATAGTGTATTCTGTACAAACTTTACATTTTGGCTCTTTCAGTGGGAACAGTGTGGGATTGAGAGGCAGAATGTTTTAAAAATGATGATTTCTGAGTAAAATAAGTGTTTGTATGTGGATCAGATAGTAATATAAGTTAAATATTAGATTATTATTCAGTGAAACTCCTGATAATTAGCTTTCTTCTTCTAAATTTGAATAAGTGAGCAGTGGTTTGATGAGATTCTGTTGTTCTGGGTGTGTCCTGTCGTTCCCTCCTCACTATCACTATCACATTGATTGCTGTCCACTCTCGGCCCTGCCCCCCCCTTTTTGTACTTAATTTAAATAAGAATAAACTTTACAATTCAGATTCCTCCTCCTATTCTGGCTGTTTATGGCTGAAATGATTTACTAATTGCTACCCACCAGTTCTGTGTGGACTCTTCAGTGTTTCTGTTCTCTTTCCCTCAGTTCTGCCGAGCCTTATCGATCGATTGGGAGACTCAAAAGACCAAGTGCGAGACCAAGACCAAACAGTGCTGCTAAAGATCATGGAACAAGCCGCCACCCCGCAGGTACAGAGACACACACACAGCCTGGTGATTAATGTCCGTTTGCTGTCCGTTAGAGCTCGTTCAGGGTGATAAAACTCTCTGCTGAGCTGCTGCAGTTCATCTGATTCACTCCTGTTGGCTGGCGGCTCACTTTTAATGAGTCCAGTTGTGTTTACCTATAGCCACATTATTGATCTCAGCAGATAGATTGATTTACTCATTGGTAATTCGATATATCACATTTTCTGTTTATATGAAATTACCACATATAAAGGCCTCTTAAGGGTTCGCACACGTCCTGGAAAACATGGAAAACCTGCAAGTTAAGAGTCATGGAAACACCTGGAAATTGAATAAAAGGACCAAATATCCTGGAAATAATCAATGTTGTCCTGGAAAAATGTTAATAGTATTTACACTCATCACATCTACGCCATTGGATCACCTTTTTTTAATTATTCACCTGACAAATTAAAGCTACTTTCTTATATTTGATGATTTTTCTTCTTTTATTCAAAACTTTTGTGCAAATTTTCAATAAAACATAAAACAAAATATAAAAAAAGGGGTAAAAATCAACTTTTAATCGATTTTGAACCACATCCATGCGACAGAAGTAGCCCCTCTCCTCCCCCGTTCAATCTCCTCCATGTTTGTTTGTGTTGCCTTCATGCACATTTCCCAGCAGCATTATATAAAACAATATCACACTATATATATATAACATCATATCTCACAGCCCCTGCTGCTGTTGTCCTATAATGTCCATTAGAAAAAGGATAAAACTTACTAACTATCACTCTCTGTGTTGTTGCAGTATGTGTGGGACCGAATGCTGGGTGGATTCAAGCATAAGAACAACAGGACCAGAGAAGGAGTGTGCCTTTGTCTCATCGCCACGCTGAACACGTGAGTCAAACCCGCCTCCTTCTATTCCACGTATAAAAACAGCACTTCTAGAAACAAGACAAATATTCTTAAATACAATCTAATGTTCTTCTATAGAGAGTAATATCTTAAGACAAAGTTAGATATGTTTTCTTAAAACCAGATAACACAAAACATGCTTGACAAAAAATAAGACTATTTTCCCATCCGGTGGCAGAAATATGTGTCAGATAAATCAATATTTGCCTGGAAAAAGCTCCTAAATGAAGATTTTTGAACTAAAAAACATTACATTATTGTGGCTTATTAGTAGAGCATTGAGTAGAAAGGCTGCATTAGAAATCATTAAATTGTTTTAGTTTAAATCTTTTTATCATTGAACTGAAAATTGGTCTAAAATGTGGCCACAACTTATCTTTAAATTGTTATTTTCCGTTTTATGTCACATTCATTTTAAGGTGACCAAGCATTTTTCTCTAGATCCGCCCCTGGAAATAAAATAATAGTTTGATAAGAAGCTGTTTTTAAAAGGTTTCAGTTTGAAATGTTCCTTGTTATTCAGAATGCAGCTTCACTTTCCCTCATTGGGCTCATTTATTTTAATTCTTGTCTTCCAGATACGGAGCTCAAGGTCTCACCCTCAGTAAAATTGTTCCCCACATATGTAACCTCCTGGGGGACCCCACGAGTCAGGTAAGTCCAGTCCCACTTTGTCTCCATCTACTCCTGTGAAATGTGTTTCATTCTAAGGTTAAAGACCTCCAAAGAAGTTAAACTTACCACGATTATTGTGTGAATATTCACTATTCAGACACAACAGAGGCAGCAGAGCAACAACACATACACATACTGCTCTCCCCCTAGTGGCAGCCCTAAGTAGTGCAGCTTCAGGACACCAAAACCTGCTGTGGTAGTTATTATCAGGGTTTCCACACATTCTGAGAAACCCGGAAACCAGAGTGGGTTTGCTTGTTTCAGTTTAGTTTTTATTGTTTAAAAATGTTCTTTTTTTTGTGTGTTAATGTTCTTTATTATAATATGGGAGGTATTTGTCAGAATAGGTATTATAATACAAACACATTGACTCACAGTCTCTATAAACACTTGATAAAAACTAAAGACATTTTCTCTATATTTTTATTTGAGTTAGTTTTTTAAGTGCACAATATCTTTTTAGTTCATTTTAGATCTTTTTCTAAAGTCTAGTTGTTATTTTTATTACAGTAAACTAAAATGATCTGATGGGAGTTGCTGATAATTTGATGCACTGTTGTACTCTGCAGGTACGTGACAGTGCTATGAGCTGCTTGGTGGAGATCTACAGACACGTGGGTGAGAGGGTGAGGATGGATCTCAGCAAAAAGGGCCTTCCACAGTCACGGTACGCCAGCAGGAAGTCGACGCCTGTCTTCTGATTTGTGCCCGCCTCCTTCCACTCTTTAATGCCTTTCGTTCTCACTCACACACACTAACTGGTGCACACAGTGTGCGTAGGTCAGGGGCTTTTATGGCGGTGAGAGGAAGATTTTCATCCCACGTCTAGACACAAAGAGGTAGCAGGCTGCAACAATACATTTCTCCCCCTAGTGGCAGAATGCACACACTGCTGCTTTAGAGCACTGGTCTGCTCGGGGAGGTTTACACTCAGTTTATTAGGTACGCTAAAGCTAAAGCTAATGCAGTTTAATACAACCCTGCAGTAAATTCTTCCTTTATGAAGGTTTTAATGGGCAGTTTCTGTTTGGACCTGTTTTAGAGAGCTGTTGGTTGAACTGAAGGATTATTTTGGAGGAAGTAGTTTGTGGTGTGGTACTGTACTTGTAACAATTAGTCAGAATCTGATTATAAAACTTAAAAAAAGGTTTTAAGAAGCAAACCTTACGGCCTCAGGCAGGTCGTTCCAAAGCCAGGAGGGGTCCTGATGGCAAAAGCACGGTCACCTTTAGATTTAAGCCAGAAAGGCCGCAACCTGAGGACCCAATGTCCGGCCTGAACAATATATTTTAGCATATATTACTTTATTATTACTCGAGGTTTAACCAATCAGATAACGTTGTGGGCGGGACTACAGACGGAGAGCGGCGGCTGCGTCATTAATTCATTTTATTGGTTAAAAAACATTCAGATAATCAGTAAAAAAGCTAATAATAAGAATAATAATCAAATAATCGGCCAAATGTTTCTGTTATCTTCTTGTCCTCTTTTCCTTTCACACTGGACCATATGTCTCTCTCCTCTCTCTCTCCCTCTCTCTCTCTCTCTCTCTGTCTCTCTCTCTTTGCCTCTCTTTATGTCTCTCTCCCTCTCTCTCTCTCTCTCTCTCTCTCTCTCTCTCTCTCTCTCTCTCTCTCTCTTTGCCTCTCTTTATGTCTCTCTCCTCTCTCTCTCTCTCTGTCTCTCTCTCTCTCTCTCTTTGCCTCTCTTTATGTCTCTCTCCTCTCTCTCTCTCTCTCTCTCGCTCTCTCTCTCTCTCTTTGCCTCTCTTTATGTCTCTCTCCCCTCTCTCTCTTTTTCTCTCTCTCGCTCTCTCTCTCTCTCTTTGCCTCTCTTTATGTCTCTCCTCTCTCTCTCTCTCTGTCTCTCTCTCTCTCTCTCTTTGCCTCTCTTTATGTCTCTCTCCTCTCTCTCTCTCTCTCTCTCTCCTCTCTTTCTCCCTCTCTCCCTCTCTCTCTCTGTCTCTCTCTCTTTGCCTCTCTTTATGCCTCTCTCTCTCTCTCTCTCTCTCTCTCTCTCTCTCTCTCTTTGCCTCTCTTTATGTCTCTCTCTCTCTCTCTCTCTCTGTCTCTCTCTCTCTCTCTCTCTCTTTGCCTCTCTTTATGTCTCTCTCCTCTCTCTCTCTCTCTCTCTCGCTCTCTCTCTCTCTCTTTTGCCTCTCTTTATGTCTCTCTCCTCTCTCTCTCTCTCTGTCTCTCTCTCTCTCTCTCTCTCTCTCTTTGCCTCTCTTTATGTCTCTCTCCTCTCTCTCTCTCTCTCTCTCTCTCTCTCTCTCTCTCTCTCTCTTTGCCTCTCTTTATGTCTCTCTCCTCTCTCTCTCTCTCTGTCTCTCTCTCTCTCTCTCTCTCTCTCTCTCTCTCTCTTTGCCTCTCTTTGCCTCTCTTTATGTCTCTCTCTCTCTCTCTCTCTCTCTTTGCCTCTCTTTATGTCTCTCTCTCTCTCTCTCTCTCTCTCTCTCTCTCTCTCTCTCTCTCTCGGTCCTGATGCCAGTTTTTCACCTGTGTGGTAGTTTTGGTCGCCGCCGTCTATTTCGGTCTTGGCCGTCCCTGCTGCACGGAGCAGAGCGAGAGCTTCTCACCTCAGAGGTGATGGAGGGTGCAGTCAGCAGCTCCGTCGTCACTCTCTCTGCGTCGGCTCTCTGACATCGTGTTTCTTACCCTTCTTCTACGCAGTTAATCATCACCTGTTCATTGTTTTCTGTCCGCTCTTGCAGGTTGAATGTAATCTTCAGTAAATTTGATGAAGTCCAAAGATCCGGGAACATGATCTCATCCTCTGGCTCCGGTGAGTTTCTGACCTTTTATATACCCATCGATCAGCAACATACAAGCACAGTTTAAAGATCAAACTGTTGATCTCAAGTCATTCAGAAATCGTCTGGCACAGCGGGGGATCGAGGATGGGCAGATGCACTGTGAATATCAGGGTTGTTGTCGTCTCAGTATAACGTGGTTGGAACATGTTGGTTGTTTGTTTAAGAAACATCTTCTTCATTCAGGCTTTCACTGTAAAACCTGATGAGTTAGTTCAACTCAAACTGTTTGTGGAAACCGATGGATTTAAACCTTTAAACAAGCTTATTAAAACAATTTAAGCATAAAAAGTGATTAATTTGAGTAGAAGTAGCTCAAGTATTTATTTGCTATTTGCTATTTTTGTAGTGAAATAAAGTCAACTTTAAGAAACTGTGTCAGTGGAACAAACTGGAGTTAAATCACTAAGACTTAAAATACTGCACAGCAACTTCACTCAAAATAACTGAGTTGCTTCAACAATTAATTTTGGAGTCGGGTTTAATTAAATGTAAGCATGAAAAATATTTAAATAGAAGTATTTATTGTTAAGGTAACTTGGGTAAATTAAGTTTCTTTTCAGTTATTTCAGTTAATTGAAGCTCATATGCAGCATTTCTCCAAACTTATTTAAACTGTGTGAACAGAATTAATCTAAATAAAGTCACTTACATGCTTCTTTATACAAATGTTACCACTTAAGTTTAATTTACTTAATTAAATGATTACATACATTTCCTGTGTTTTTTGTATGTGACTGACATCAAATCGTTGCACTTTGGGATCATTAAGAATAATTTTGATGCATACTTGAGCTTATAATGATTAATAAATAAAGAACAAAAAATCCTGAGCTATACAGCATTATAATGCTTTGTAATGAATTATATCAGCTGTACTTAAAATGTGAATTTAAGTTCACTAAAACAACAAGTTATTGCTTCAACAATTCTTGTGTATTTCTTTTATTGAGATGTCAGGTTTTACAGTGTCTCTCTCTGTTTGTCTCACTTCATTCGGGTGTGTCAGCTTTCTTTCTTTAGACTGTATCTTCCATATTGTGTGTGTGTGTGTGTGTGTGTGTGTGTGTGTGTGTGTGTGTGTGTGTGTGTGTGTGTGTGTGTGTGTGTGTGTGTGTGTGTGTGTGTGTGTGGAGGAAGAAGCAGGGGTGGTGGGGGGGGTTACAGGCCAGACGGACAGCCTGGGGCTAGAGGGGATGAGATTTCTCCACAGGAGGTGTGCATCCACTGGAGCTTTCAGATGTCCCTCTGTGGAGCCAAAGACCAAAACAAGCCTCCATCTTAACCCGTATAAATATATCAAATCACTTTTACAACAGAAAGGCAGACACGCGTTCCCGTGTTTGTCCGGTTCTGATTGTTTTTGTGCGTTAGAGGAGTCGCTCTCTGACACCCTCACTGCTGACTCCGTCCCATTAACAGCTGACTGCATCCACAACAGCTGAGCCAAGGAGAATACCGTTAGACAGGACTCAGCATTTCAGTCTGCAACATCGTCCTCCAGCTAACATTTGACATCTTAATCTCTCACAACTTCAGTCATTATGCCACTCAGGGAGCGCTTGATGAGCCTCCAGTGTAAGCTGATGGCTGGTAAATGAATAGTTTTTGAACTGAACTAAAAACAACTTTTTGAATCTATTATTATTATTATGAGAAGACTATTTTTATCTGTAGCTTATTTTAGAAACATACTTTTAACCTGACAATAAACTGCACAATGCTTAGATCCTCCTAAATGTTACACACTGGACCTTTTAAGGCACTTATTCATTATTTTATCACTTAATCAGCACAAATCCAATAAATTATGTAATGAACAAATGGCTTATTCTTTCTTTGTCTTAGAGAATCTGCTTCATAATCTGCTTTAATTCAAGATTTGGACTATTAAAATCTCCTTTTACTGCGTAGGAGTAATGAATGGAAACAATGCTGAATGTGAGTCCTAATGAATAAAGATTTCTGCCTGCAGTCCCTCCCATCAACCCCCAGTCAAGTTGCGGGAAGTTCATTTGGAAAGCTCTGAGAAATATGCAAACATGACTCATTTTAGCAGCTATTAGATAGTGGAGCATCATATTCATCACAATCAGCTTCTCAGCTCCTCGCAGGCTCGACTTTTCCCACTTTCACGGCTACACTGAAATTGACTTTGTGACTGAAAGATGATGACGGCTCGTTTTAATTTAAACCTCATTCGCCTCAGAGCTGAGAAGAATGTCTGGCGTTAATGTGGATGGAGGATGAGCTGCGATGTTAAACAGGCCTTCAGCTTTAGTTTGACAGTTGTGCTAACTGCAAAATAAACTCAGTGACCGGACGAGAGAGAGGAGTGCTCGTGGAGAAAGGTAACTTTATGGCTAAATATATTTGGACATCTTCTCTATCCACACAGGGTCCAAAATGAGAACCTTTCAAGCACTAAATGTGGGTAAATTCTGGGTGTGGTAAATTACATTTATATAACTAATGTGACCCTCACTGTCCACCGTACTTACCATGACAGCCCAAATTCACCACGATAAATGTTTTTTGTTGAGATACGTGACAATATTGTGTATCGTCCCATCCCTAGTGGCGTCAGAGAATCAAATAAAAGTTTACTATGTACTGTGCTTTCTACACAGTTGGCCTCCTGCAGCAATAGTTCTCTGATATATTCTCTTAATTATAAGAAAACTGTGCTCTATTTCATGGGTTTTTTAGCTTGTTGCAGCCAAAAATGTGATTAATTTGATAGAAAAATAATAATTCAGTTGTCACTGCTCAGGTCCTAATAAGAGCAGATTTGTTCGTATTTCTCTTCTCGCCTTAGGCCCAGTGTCTGTCTACTGTTTTGCCGTAATAAACATCAGCCTTACATGTTATTTGAGACGTGGCGACACAATAACAAAGGTTATTATATAGGTAATTGTTTGTAGTCAACATCTTAAGATGAGCCAAAAAGTACATTTTAGACCCTTTCTCCACACACTATCAGAAAATTGTTTTGCAAGGGACTTTAATAATTGTGAACGTTTTGACAAAAAGTTCCCAAATTCTGTCTCTTCTTGTCGTAAAACCTGATGATTTAGTTCAACTCAGACTTATGGCGAGCAAACAGATCGCCATAAACAGTTCAAATTTATTAAACTCCAACAATTTAAGCATGAAAAAAGATTTGATTTGAGTACAAATAACTCATTTATTGTTAAGTAAAGGTAAATTAAGTTAATTGAAGTTAAAACTAATAAGTATATTACACTCATACGCAGCATTTCTCTAAACTTATTTAAAACAACAGAATGTATCTGAATAAAGTAACAATCACATATTAGTATTATGATATAAAGTCAACTTAAAGAAAACGAGTCAATAGAACAAACTGGAATTAAATATTTAAAATACAACACAAATTTAAGTTCACTCAAAAGAGTAATTTTTAATTTGGGTTTAAAGGTTAGCTTACTTCTTTTATTAAGATATGCATTTAGGATTTACTCTGTAACTTCTATTTCATACATCTGCTCATCAGAGAGATGGAGGCAGAGGGGGGAGGAGAGTGAGAGAGGATAGATAGAAGAGAGGGAGGGAGGGAGGGATAGATAGAGAGCAAAACAAAGCAGCCATTTCTGTAGCACCACTGAGAGGTAAACAGTGGGCGAGAGATATAGAGCAGAGGCTATAGAGAGAGAGAGAGAGAGAGCGCTGAGCTTTCAGCTGTGTATCAGCATTCCTCTCTGGCTTCAGCACTGAGGGCGTCTTTGCACCATGACAGCTGGAGAAGGTAAGACTGGAAATAGGAGATCACACGCACATGCGTATAATACAGGTTTGAATTAGATGATCTGTATTCGTAGTGCCTGTTTGTGCACGTGGAAGTGAAAGAGGACTGTAGGATAATGAGAAAACAACAGTTTTATCTCTGTTATGTAATCTGTTCTCATTAAAATCTGCAGTCAGAGGAGACTGTAGTTCTCCCATGTGAATTCAGTGAATGGTGTTTTATTTTTTTTTTGCTGCAGCACGGGAGGCTGTGATGTTACATTTCATGCCTTCTTGTTTATCTGTTAGCAGCCTCGCCTCCAGTCTCCTCTCAGCGCCTCGAGCGACAGTTTGCCTAAAGCGTCCCAACACTTGTTTCATCTTGGCCCGAGACGATTCGAGCTGAGAGAGTTACTGTCAATATGTAAACTGTTACTAATGGCTGTTTATAATATGCATCATCTGTTAGGCAATCCCTGCAACCTCTCCTTCGTTCATGTAATCTGGCTCCTGTTGGATTACTTTTTGCCTTCTACCGCCTCCAAAACTGTCTTAAAGGGTATAGAAGTATGCATTTCATGGTATTATTTAGAGCCTGACTGATATTGATTTTTAAAGGGAAGACATTAACCCAATATGGTGGCCAATGTAGTGACGCACTGATTCTGATTATGCAAATGTACTCAGAAGGCTACCCCCTTAAACAAATTTTTGTTTATTTAAAGATATTTAAGTTAAATATTCTTCAACATGTCAATAATTTATACATTATCAACAAATTCTGGTTGACGCTGCTGACAGCTGCTTCTTCTCTCTGACTCTGTGCTGCGTCCTACGGTATCGTAAATCACAGCGCACTCTGTTAGATAAACTTTGCAGTGACACCAACATTATGTAGATGATATTGCATTATATACAGTAGGTGGTGTGCATCTGTCCCTTTGAAGACGATCTGATACGTATCCAGATACATGAGCTACGATACGATTCAGGGACAATGCATTTTAATATGGAATTCTATAAAGTCAACAGAATCCGACCATCGATGGGTTCAGGGTACATAAAGATCGATCCAGGAGTCCGCGTATCAATGTAGTCGCACCTATAACCGTAAGACCGAATTCTGATCAGTATCAGTAAATGTTTACATGCCTAAGACTGGTAGTCTCTATACAGCTCTTATGTCTGGGCTCATTTGAATTGAACACCAGGAATGCAGCTGAAT